GGGGGGGTACAGAGAAAAAGGAACTGGGTTGTCACGGGTTTCTAACTCTACTCCTGGGGGAGATTTTCTGTGTGTCTGAATTGTTACAAACATACTTGGTGACAGGTATTTTGAAATAAATTACCAAAATAATTGAAACTGGCATGATTATGTAGTGTTCTTTTGACAAATAAAATTTGGAGAATTTTTTAAATTTTTTGGCACAGAATGCCCCCAGGAGTAAGATACGTGGGGCACCCTATGCTACAGGTGCTACAACGGTACTGTTGCATCACTGCAGCTATTCCGCTGTAGTGTAGACGCTTACTTCCATCAACATAGTGGTGACTGCACTGGGGCATAGGTTGTCTTAACTATATCTCTTAGGTATGAATTTTTCATACCCATGAGCGATGTTGCTAAGTCAACCTAAGTGGTTTTTTTTATGTGTAAACCAGGCCTTATTTAGCATCTCTCTGAAATTATTCAGATATCTCCTTTAGATTGTGAAGGTGTTGGGGAGTGAATTATATACTTCTCTGCAAATCTCAAATAGGTTTTTAATGTGTAAGTCATTCATGTTTGCAGGAACGGAGATTGGAGAAGAAAGCCAACAAATTAGCCTTCAAGTTGGAAAAAACAAGGCAAGAAAAAGAACTGCTCAATCTGAGACAGAACGTTCAAGGGCTCAAGCTGTCGTAGTGGAACAGATGACTTTCATATTGTGGAAAGTTCTTTGCATTGTTCTTTGTGCTAGGATCTTGGGAAGACAATGACTCTTTTAACCTTGTCCCATCATGGACACAAGTTCATAACATGGTATTTGAATTTTTCTATAACCAGATCCAGTAATTACATTTAAAAAGATGGCCACACAGCTGAAACAATTTTTGGTTACAAATTAAAATTTACAGTAGTATTACTGTATTTTCTGTCATGAACATAACATGGCAGTTATTTATAAACTGAGTTGCACTGGGAGCGTGTTAGGATACTTAAATTACAGAAAAATATATATCTTCTATGCAACAGGTTTTGTATATATTGAGAAAAATTAACTATTGTGATTCAAGAGACCTCGGTTCTGTTTCCTGATTAGATTTACCTATCTGAATGTGCATAAAATAACTTTCCCTCCTTTTATAATGGTATTTAAATGCAGGTTCAGTTGGAAACCATGCTTTGACCTTAGCACAGTTCAGTATATCAAGAATATGCAGTATTTTCCCCCAAGCCCTCTCCAGCTGTCTGAGGTATCTATTGCTGTTTGAATACTATTGTGAAGAGTATTGGAAAATCACATTTTAAGAGAGATGTTTAGAAAACTGTTTTAAATTTAAGGGTTGTCTAAATTCACATGGTTGTGCGTTCCATTTCATTTGGCGAGTGAAATAATTAAAGATATTTAATGCAAGATTTAGGTTGTACATTTAAAATCAAAGTTAGCAACATTAACATCATAATTTCCTTATGAAATTAACTTGGCTGTATTGAACAGTTTTTTGCATACAGTGTTTGCTATAAAATATTCAAACAGTAATAAATAAAAACTATACACACCCAGATAAAAAGGAGTAGAGTATGCTACATACATGTGACACAATAAAAATTCTGTTGCACTTCCTGACTTTCTGGGACCTTAACTCTGCAGCCTTAGCATTGCACTGTGAGGGAGCTAAACTATAAATGTAAACATTGGTGCTGTATGGGGTCTAAATCATCCATGACCTAGGCAGGAACCTCTTGGAGATGGGCAGTGGTTCATCCTAATCAGACACCGTAAACATCTTAGTTCTGACTCTAGCATTGGCTTTGATATCTGTCATTCTGTTGATGGCAGTGGGCCTATACACCTCAGAAAGGTGAGCAAGAGTTGCCCCTTTATGAGCAGAAAAGGGAAGTACCTAATCTTTGTAGTTCCACAGGACCACAACATGAACATCCTTTCATGCCGTCTTGCCATGGTCAGCTCAATGTAAAAGTCTCTGTGTATGCTGCTTACGGGTGGGAGATTCTGGTAGAATCATAACCTATTTCTAGGATATCTGGTACTATTTTTGGAAGAATTCTGGACTGGTGCCCAGGATATAAGAGGAAAGAATTTAAATTACTGTTAATTTAATCTCATCCCAGTTGGCTAAATCCTGAGCACTTTAGGACTGCTGCCTGTGAGGCTTAAAAAAGAAAAAAATATTTTTTTCATAGTTTTTTCTTAGTTTTTCTTAAGTTTTTGTCAGGTTGTTTTATTGCTTTTGGAAGTTTCTTTAAGTTCTTCAATACAAATTTTCTCTCCTCTATGGGTCTGATGTAATTGTTTAAATTTCTGTTGATCCCTAATATGAACTGACACAGCAGTACATACATTTCCCTTTCTGTTGTCCTTATGAACACTAAATGAAGATGAGCAGAAAGCAGTGTGAATCCTCTGTGTATAGAAACTTTTCAGAGTGCTTTGGTTATAACATCTATTGCTGCTTGTGAGATTGAACTATTGAAATTCAAACCTAAAACCAGTTATCTCTCAAATCTCTTCCCACGTTCTATCTGTAGAAATTAGCTCACCTAATTATGATATCTGAGGGGGGGGGGGGAATTTTGTAGAAGTCCTGTTTGACAAAAACACCTTTGTTCATGCTTTCATTTGACTTTTAGCTATACTAGTTTTCATGTATATCATAGGATAGGGCAGGATGTATGTGTCATAATGGTTAATTATTTGGTTGCTAATAACTGGCAACTTGGATTATTGCAAGCAGTTGAACTGTGCAAGTAAAAGTTGACCACCTAGCACCCATGTTTCCTGAAAGTGTTTAAAGAGGGAATTTGAGAAACTCTCATATAGAGATGAGTCAGATGCATGGAACAGGTGAGTAACGTGCAAAGCTTAATATTTAGAGTAAAGTGTAATTTTGTGGGTTAATGAACATGAGTTTATTAGAAATATTGCCACATGTTCTAAAAGAGTACTATGATCTGTCTGCTAAAGTACACAAACCATAATCCTCTGCAGTTGGATATTATGTTCAGTTGCTGAAGCAGAGATGGGAAGTCATGAAAAAGGGTATTCTGCTTGTAGCTAGGCTTTGCTGCCAAAACTCTGTGCCAGATCAAGCAAGAAAAATCTTAATTTATTTTGTCCATACCTAAAGAGTAATCACAATTTCTTTAGCTATTCTGATATTTGATTTGCCACAGTCAGTGTCCTGATATGCCTTACATTATGCCATGAGAATGTTAGTAATACTCTATAAGCCAGTTTGGGAATGTTTCTATGCTCTAGTTGCCTACAGGAAGGTGAAGCAGGCCTGTTCTTCCCATTGCTGCTTTATTACTGTATTATTTCCTTTCTCTCTTGGTTTACCACCTCTATAGAGCAAAAATAAATGAAAGGTAAGGATAACAAGAGCAGGCCAGAGCAGGAACAAAGACAATGGAGAAGTCAAGAGTGTTTTTAAAAGGGAGAGAACAGTGGGTGGAATAGAGGTTAAAAAGATGTTGGTTGGAAACAATGAAATTGAGGAGAGCTAATGGAATAGAGCAAAAGGTTATAAAATTACTTTGGTACTCCATTGTTAACGATGTCACTGCTAATTGTTGTAATCAAGTTACTATATATGCCTTGGTATTCTTTTCCTAATGTCTGCTACAATAAAAAAAACTTGCCAAGAGTCTCATAGTGCTAAGTGGCAAACCTTGCCTTCACTTCTATGAGATTACGTGCAGACCCTTAGACCTGCAAGTCTGTGTTTTGTTTTGTTTCCCCTCCCGCCATAAATGGAGGGGGGCGGGGTTGGACCTCTTTACAGGTACACTCCAGCAATCTACTGTTTTTGCCTAATGCTGTGCTCAGTGTGGAGAGATTGATATGAAATCAGATTTGTGTTGTGTTAAGACATGGTACTGTTGTTGGTTTGAAAGAAAACTTTGAGAGAACCATTTTCCCCTTGAAAAATGCAGTTCAATCAAAACTGTGATGCTTAGCAAACTCATGTCAATTTCACTGAAATTTTACTTTGATGGAAAACAGTGACATTCTGACAGTTTCAAAATGAAACCTTTTGATATTTCACTTTGAAACTACAGTACTTTGTTTTGAAAATTGTATTTTGTATTGTATATTATAAAATTGAAGGTTTTTTTTTTTGATTATCCAATGATTTCTTTTGTCAATCTTCTGTAGAGAATTTTGAACTTGCAGGCTTTTCCAAATTATAATGAAAACAAAATTAATAATCCTCAAAATGGAATTTCCATCCTCCACAGCTCTACTTGCTACTATCATGTTTTAGTTTAACATAACTTAACTAATTCCCAAGTTTAGATTCCTTAGATTCTGACATTGTACATGAATAGTTTTGGGGGGTTTTTAGGACATATTTTTCATTTTGTATAATCAAGTTTGCAATTTGCTATAAAAATACATTTAGGCTACCTAGGAATTTTTCAGGTATTTCCTGAAGTATTCCCCAAGAAATACTTCATGTCCCCCCCCACCCCTTTTGCTCTGTTGTTCTTTGGATCCCTGACTTTCCAATATACAGCTTTAAGCTGGCACTGACCAGCTCTTGTAAGCACCTATTCAAGAGCACTTGAAAATGGTTTTGCTTCCCTCAGAAATTTGAGAAATTAGGGGTAAGTACTAATATACACTGCTCTCTTCTTTCCTTGTACCTCCAGATCTTCGTATGACACGAAAGATCATAAGGAAACTATTAGGAATATGGCATGTGAAGTTTTATGTTTAGTTTTTACTTGTATACATGAAACTGATCAAACATTTGTGGCTTCCCAAAATGCCTGCAGTTATCTTCCATATTGGGTTTGGTACAGCATAACTTTAAAATAGAAAGTATCGGGGTAGCCGTGTTAGTCTGTATCTACAAAAACAACAAGGAGTCTGGTGGAACCTTAAAGACTAACAGATTTATTTGGGCATAAGCTTTTGTGGGTAAAAACCTCACTTCTTCGGATGCATGCATGCATTTAAAATAGAAAGGTGGCTGTGTCTAAATATGCAAACTTATAACTTACTGGGTTTGTCATACAGGCTGTTAGCTGATATGCCATTATACATACATCCTTATGTATTAATGAACCTACTGCTTGGCTTAGTCTGGATCACTCCCAGCTATTTGAACAAATACTAAACTTCTGCTAGCCCCTTAATACAAAATTAACTTGCAAGTGAACATTACTGCTACAAAATAAAATCTTTCTTGAACATTATTTAATGCATCTGCTAAATATTCTGTCACAAAAGAAAAAAGGCTGTGTCACATTTGTAATAACAAAATGTGTCTTACTGCTTTTAAAAATATAGGCAATCATCTTCCAGTTGACTGAGTCACTGCATCATTAAGGATCCTAATTTTTTTATGTGGTTTATGAATGAAAAGGATTGGAATAAAGCAAAACCTGAGTGTGGGCATCCAGCTTCTCCTTTTTTTAAGTGAGCTGTAATCTCTGTAGTGACATACTCTCTGTATTGTATCACATCTCCACTCTTCTATTATGATGTCATAGAATGACCTTGTTCTTTGCCATGCTGAAGGCAACATGAGGAAGATCAGGTCTACTTTAATCTCAGTAAATGGTTTTGCAATACTGATTTCCTTTGTAGTCTCAATCGAAGGTACCCCTACATTTTGTTTCATAGTGTATATGGCAATTTCAGCTTTTGTTTATACAAGTTACTGTTCCAGTCTCATACACTACATTCCAGATATTAAAATACTAGGGAAATCAAAAGTTAACCCCTTCACAAATGTTAGTTACACCACTCTTTGTTCTAGGTTTTATCTAAAGCAGGGGTAGGCAACCTATGGCATGCGTGCCAAAGGCGGCACGCTAGCTGATTTTCAGTGGCACTCACACTGCCCGGGTCCTGGCCAGTGGTCCGGGAGGCTTTGCATTTTAATTTAATTTTAAATGAAGCTTCTTAAACATTTTTAAAACCTTATTTACTTTACATACAACAATAGTTTAGTTATACATTATAGACTTAAAGAAAGAGACCTTCTAAAAACGTTAAAATGTATTATTGGCACACGAAACCTTATGTTGGAGTGAATAAATGAAGACTTGGCACACCATTTCTGAAAGGTTGCTGACCCCTAATCTAAAGTCTCATTAGCACTTGTTAAAGATGGTTCATGGGTGACTAGATAACTGCCTAGAGAGCTTTCAACTCTATGTAGAAGACTTGATTCCTGCATGGTCATTGGAGGTGGTGGTTTTTAAGTAAAAAATACCAATCATTTGATTTGTTTTTTACATATCTTTGTATGAGAATTCGAAATGGAATTTCTCAAAATGAAAAGCTTTTAAATTTTTTGTTTCAGGGAAAAAAAAGGGGGTTTCCCTTTTTCTCTCACTGGTGAACTTGTTTTCCCACTAGAAAAGTAAAATGGTACTTTATCTCACTTAAAAAAAAAAACAAAAAACTTTCATGGTTTTCTGGTGTGGGAAGAAAGAATGGGAATTTTCTCGCTGTTTTGAAAAAGAAAGCTTGAAATGTTAAACTTCTTGAAATTTGTTTCGAAAACTAAGAGCATATTCCAATACCCTTTTTCCCCTTAAAAATTTAATTTTCAATGGAAAATGCTCACCAAAAATTTGTTGACCAGTTCTAATGGGTAGTAATAACTAAAATGTGCTATTATCTGATTACTGTTTTGGCCTATGGAAAATAAACTGTTGCAGTCAGTTCTTAAGGGAAAACCAGCGAAATTGGCATGCTTGTGTGCAAAGTCAGTAGAGAGGCCAAGGATTTGAATTGCCATGGAAGATTAACTGCCTCGAGGTGGCCACTCCACCTTAGGGTACTTGTGCTGTATTTGCCCCTACATTTCAGTCTCTAGGGTTGCTAATCAGCCACCTCTCACAATGAGTACATTTAAAATTTTTATTAAAGCTAATGTTAAAATAATTACGTAATACGTAGGTTGAGATGAGGGTCTGTACATCTGGGTATAGTGCTTAGATTATCCACAAATACAAAGTTTTGTTTTTAAAAGTCACATGATACATAGAGCACATAATCAGCAATAACCCTAATTTAGGTGAATAAATTTAAGAATACGGTTTAGATATTGGCATCCACGTATCCGGGTACATCACTCATGAGAATTTGTACAGAGCTTTGGTACTAATGCACAAAGCAAACTATACAGGAGGTGTATCCACATGTCTGCACCATGGTAGGGAAGCAGTTGGGAGTACAAAATAAAACTGATTGCCATCAACCACTCCCTTTGCTTTCACAGCCCCATGCTGCATTTCTATAGCTTTGGTAGGGAAAGTCAAAGAAGAATGGAAAAATGTCTGGGCAAGAGTCCCCCTGTGACTGGTGTGGGGGGTGGCTGTATACCAAAGCCCACTGGCAAAATCTCGATTTGTGTGGCTCTTAGACAACTTAATAAAAGCATGTGTAGAGAAAGACACATGGTTCCTGCATTTAACCAAACACAAGTCTTAAAGTTAGATACTATCCCAGCCTTCTAGCAAATCCCCCTTGCTAAAGAATCTGTTAACGATACTCCTCCCCATTTGGAAGGTACTGTTTGAATCGTTTTCCATTTGGCATATCTTCAGCACCAAAGCATTTCCAAAAAAGACTGTCTCAGATTGTGTCAGGTTCGTCTGGTATCCTTTGCAATGCAGATATGTTGGTAGATGGTAGAGATAAAAATGAACACTGTGTGTCATTACATGCAGTTTTGAGATGTTTTCAACAAGGTCACTCAGAAATGTGAATTTGGAAAGAAGCAGATAAAATTTATAGGACACATACTTGGCAAACGGAATTCAGCTGATTTCCAACAAACTGAAAGCGTTATTCACCTTACCTGACCCCAAAGATGTTTCTACTGTAAGAAGATGCCTGGTCACGACAGATCATTTGGGGAAATTCTTACCAATTTTAGCTCCTCTAAAAATCTTTTAAGAGATTTTCTTAATGATCACAATATGTGATCTGGTGGACTGCACCACAAAATGCATTTAATTGTATAAAAGAACTACTGACATCTCTGCCTGTTCTTACACGATATTCAGTAAACTATCTGTCAACAGATGCCTCTTCATATGGGGTAGTGCTCACGCAAAAGCAGCCAGGAGACATGAGACCTGTTGCATTCATATCAAGAAGCCTTACAGAAGCTGATCAGTGGCATACTCAGGTGGAAAAGGAAGCTCTAGCAATCCCTTGGTCCTCTGCATATCTGGCTTGAATTTTAACACCGAAACAGATCACAAGCCCTACGGGGATTATTGGATTCAAAACCACTGAATGACCTGTAACTGAGGGAGCCCCTCAATGCCAACTGGCAGAGGGCACACTATCCTGTAATTCTCATCAGGCCTGATACACTCAGTCCCCCAATTTGCCAGTGTCATAATCCGTGTCTTTAAGGCTTCATGTTGTTGGATTAAAAGTAATATAAATGCTTTGGGTAAAGTATGGTCCAGTACAGACCCTGGATTTGTCTTGTATTATTAGAAAGCAATAGGTCTCCCAGCCTGTTCTCTCAGCCTGCTGAGTTTGTGCTAATTGAAGCAGGCCTGTTAGTTTGCAAGGTCTGTGCTAATTGTAGAAAAACAACCAGAGACAAAGAGTCTGTTCTAAAAGCGGTAAGATAACATGTTACAAATATTTTTCTGAACTCGGGAACAAAATCTGTTGTTCTTCCACATTTACATTCCGATCTTGCTTGTTTTCTTTTCATGTGTAACAAGTGGCATAGATAGATAGATTCATTGGAGTCTTGTTTTGTTACAAAAACATCTGAGTGCTGCATATTAAGCTTAAGAGCAAAATCCTCAGCCAAAGTACCAGGCTGGCGTGGCAGTGAACTTCTGTGAGTGTCCAGTGAAAAGATGTCCCTGAGGAACTTGGGAATGGGGATTGACTGTGTGTTACCTGCTAGGAAAGGTTTGGGCTGGCAGAGTCCTGAGGAGTTTGCTGGCAAGGCAGACAAGCTGATGTATCAGTGGGCTGACTCACAGCTTAGCAGCAGCAAGGCTCACTTGCTGAGTCAGGGCGGTAACTCAGTTTTGGGTGACATGAGCAGGGCATCGTATCTTCCACCTACAATTCAGAGATTTTTGACTGTGGGTGATGCAATTTTTTTTCAACATGTACCAGAGAAAACACATAGAAACAAACACTCTGTCTGGAGCCCCAATTGAGCAGCCAGCACCAGAAGATGAAAAGGCTTTAGAGAAAGATGTCAAAGGTTTAATGACCTCATTCTGGCAGCAATTCTAGCAGCTGCCAGCTAACATCAGAAAATTAGAGATGAACAACTAAAGGATGAGACTTGCCAGAAACTGACTCAACTCTGCCGAAGAAGGTGAGGTCAAAGGAGTCACCTTCCAGCAGACCCATATTGGTAGGACCTTCACACAGTGGATGGTGTTTCTGAAAGGACAATGCATTCTTATCCCTGTGGTGCTTCAGAAAGAGATGCTCGCCAAAATCCATGGACTCCAAAGTATAAACAAGGACCCAGCACAAGCACAACAATCCATATGGTGGCCTGGTCTGAGTAGGCAAGTTCAGACTTTAGTAGAGGGCTGCAAGATATGTAAAAGTGTGTGTGTGTTTGGGGCGGGGGGAAACACCAGAACCATTACTCTCTGCAGAGCTACCTGACAGACCATGGCAGTGGTTAGTCACAGATTTGTTTTTCTGGAAAGGGCATACATGCATTATTGTAGTTGATTGATTACTTTTCCAGATATATTGACAGACTTCATCAGCACAGGTCATCCAGAAACCAAAGTCAGTAGTTGCAAGATATAGAGCTCCAGAAGTCCTCATATCTAATAATGAGCCTCAGTTTACCTCTGAAACCTTCCTAGCATTTGCACAAGACTTTGATTTTGAACATTGTACTAGTTGTCCACATTATCCCAGAGTAATGAGGAGGTGCAGAGAGCAGTGTGGACTTTAAAAAGACTTCTGCAAAAATCACTGGATGAAGCATTCCTTGGCCTGTCGGTCAACACTGTCTGAACTATCTCCAGCAGAACTTCTGATGGGAAGATGATCCAGGATGCCTTTACCTGATTCAGCTTAAACCTAAGTGGTCCAACCTGAAGGAATTTAAAAAACCGTATACCAAAATAAAAATTCAGCAACAACTAAATTTGAATGTTCAGCACAGAACAAAAGCACTACCTGAACTGAGACCAGGGAACGAAGTTTGGCTTAAAAGCTCCCAGACATTTGGAACTGTTCGGAACTTGGCAGAAATTCCCACATCCTACCTAGTGGGAACTCCGCCTGTACTTCTCTGGAGGGATCAGGTTCATCTGCAGTGTTTCCTGACAACAAAGAGAGGATCTGGAACCTGCAGGTACTTTGTCGGAAAGTGATCTTCCTCCACAGGGAACTCCCTGCACAAACTCAATATGGAAATGAGAACATGGCCTGGAAGACTGATCAGACCCCTTCAAAGACTTGAACTTTAGAATACTGCTCAGGACTATTTAATTCCTTAAAACTATTTGCACTACTATAGCCCCTTATCAATTGCATTTAAAGTTCATTTTGAATTGTGGTGTGTGTGCGCGTGTGTGTGTGTGTGTGTGTGTTTGTTTGTATACATTGTCTTAGTGTTTAATCTTTTATTATAAAGAAAGGGAGATGTGGTGGGTTTATAGCATTCCTGGTCCTCTCTGGAGGACCAGGATGTGTTGCAGCTGGGAGTTTAATAAAGGTAGGAATTTTCTGGTTGAGGAGTTCTCCAGTTGGTGCTTAAACATGGCTCTTGTGTTTGTCCTCACATTACTACACCATCTCCCCAGAGTCACAACATGACCTGTCCATCACTCCTTTCTCAGGGAACAGGTACAGGAAAAGCAATAGGCTAGAGACAGTGGAGAGTTAAAACAGAGCTGGCAGCTGGGCAGGAGAGAGGGGGATTCATGAGCCTCTCCTTCCATTGGGCAGTGGGGAAGGAGCAGGACTGGGGAGGAAGCCAACAGCTTGGAGTGTGAGATGTCAGAGGGACTGACATGCTAAAGATACCTGTCTCCAATAGCAGAGAGTAGGACATTAGAACAAGTATATAGGAGAAGTTCAGTTGGCTTAGAGCCGAAGTTAGAATTTAACCATTTAGGCATTTATCATCCTAGTATCTAAATGTGCCACTTGGTAAGTCTTCAGTTGAATGGTAACCCCTAACATTTCTTATATTAAACTGTAAAGTAACTCGTATGGAAATGGTGAAGCTGGCTCCTCCAGTTGGTAAGACAGACAGAGGAAATGGAGGCCTGTGGGGTATGAAATTTACCCCACCACTGAGGTGAAGAGATCACAAAAGGGGGAAGAAAAAACCCACAGGTGACTTTCGTTGTGCGAAAGTGCCCTTTATACAACCAGTTCCAGAAATCATAGGGCCTGCTCTTACCATTGATTTTTGGGGGGTGAGGGCAAGAAATCCTGTGAAACTAATAGTTTGATATGTTGAATTTTATACAGCTGCCAGAAGTCAAGATTTGCTAGCTTGTGAAACCTGTGGAAGACATTTTGCACAAGATGTTCTGGTAAAACAAAGGCTTTTTCCCCTCTACTTTAAGTTTTATGCATCTATGGGGGAATTGTGAGGGTTTGGGGGTGGGGGATGGGGCAGTAAATGCCAGTAGATTAAACACAGATGTTGAAAGGAATTTTCACTCTCTCTGTGGAAACAAGACTGACTGATCTGATCAGTATTCAGAGTATTGTCCTGCCCTGTGGTGTAAATAGGTTATTTGTGCTTTCTCTGATCTAGCAATATTCCAGAGTGTGGCAGAAATAATTATAATGCCTTAGACAGAAGCAGCATTAGCAGAACATAAGGTCTTTGCCATAAGATTTTGTTTTTTGTTTGCATCCCAGTTAAGGCACGAGCCAATATGCAGGAAAGTCTTCAACAAAAAGCGCAAACCTTTCAATTCTTTGAAACAGAGACTGCAGGGAACTGAAATTCTCTCAGTGAAGAAACAGCCACCACCAAAGGTATTGTTGAAATTGTAGCAGGCATGTTGCCTTCATTCTAATATCTTTGGTCAACGAATGTTGTCATTCACTCCAGCGATGAATGGGTGTCCTGAATGAGCCTAGGGTTCTTCGCTGTGTGTGGCATTCTGTCTTGGGAAATGCTGTCTCCTCGACTGGGTCTGGCTTTGTTCTTGCCTTCCCCTGTCCCCAGCCCTAGCCTTTGGTCTTTATCAAGTGCTAATAAGTGGCTTGTTGCCTCCATAACTTGAGGCTTCTTCTCAGTGCAAGAGCCATGCTGGTGTACAGTGAAACTGTTAGGAACACATGGAGGCCTCAGTTCTTATAGGAGTCTTCCTTAAAAATAAAACATATGAATAACATACAAGCTTCTGACAGCTTCCTCTCTAGTTAGGTCCGTGAGAGGAAGTGATGGTAGGACACTGATCTGGTGCAGGAATGCTCAAGGTTCAGCTCAAGAGCCATCTCTGGCCTGTAAAGTCCCAAGGACAAAGCTTCAGAGCTTTATTGCTATTAAATTCAAACAGTAAGCAATTTTTATTCCTTTATTTAAGGAAGATCATTATCTGTATTGCTGTGGTAACCATAGGGTCTAAGCAGGACTGGGGCACACACACAGCATTTGTCTCACAGATACCAATACTATGGTTGTGTGCTGTTTATCATAGAAGATTAGGTTTGGAAGAGACCTCAGGAGGTTATCTAGTCCAACCCCCTGCTCAAAGCAGGACCAACCCCAACTAAATAATCCCAGCCTGGGCTGATGATCCCAGCCTGGGCTGATGATCCCAGCCCGGGCTGATGAGGGTTTGCTGCTGCTGATCTAGTAACAGCAGCAGGCTATGCAGAATCCAATTTCAGACTTTGATTGAGACAAGAGGCAAAAAATATAAGAGGAGATCAAAAGGGGGAGGGGGAAGAGGTGATTGTCATGCTAACTTTCATATTTCATCCAGTATAAACTATAGTCCTCTGTGACCTAAATGTCTTGATATGAGAGGCTATTCTTTTATTGGTCCCTTGGAGCACTGGTTAATTTGTGAGGATGGGGAGATAGGTCAAATCCACTTTTCTGAGTCTTACTAAGATTTTGTTCTGTTTCTAATATTTCTTCTTCCTCTTGAAATTTTATTTAGCAAAGAACCCTCAGTCAAAGTCTTTATATATCCCCATAGATGGAGATATAGAGTTTGTTGCAATACATTTCCTTTACAGAAACAACCAGAAAAGAAATCTAACTGGAGACAGCGGCATGAGGACTTTATTAATGCTATTCAGTCAGCCAAGCAAGTCACAAAAGCCATGAAAGAGGGCCGACCCCTTCCTCCTCCTCCACCTCCAAGCGTCAATCCAGGTTTGTGATTTAGTTTCACTTACTGCTGCTCTTGTGCTTGCTTATCTTTGGTAAAACAATGAGCTCCTGTTATTCACAGATGGGCTTCAGCTTTACTCCATTCTGCGCAACCCAAGGTGAACATTAACTCCCTCATTCCTGATTGGTTTTTAAAATGTAGTGGTGGAGCAGAGCATGAATTAGGGGCAGCCCTGGGAGCAGCTAAAGAGGGTTTCTGCATTCAGTAAGTAGTAGGAGGAGAGAATCAGGGAGAAGTAGAGCAACATAGATGAATTGCAGAGGAAGAAAAATAATTGGACCTTTCAACCTTAATGGTAGCAACTCATCAGTCTAGTAGCAGAGCTCTGAGGTGGGAGTTGGGATGCTTGGGTTCTAGTCCTGACTCTGGCATTGACTAACAAAGGGTGAAATTCATCCCTTACCACTTGGAATAAACTGTAAGTCAGGCATAGGCCTCATGCTGGCCCTCTGCATTGGGATGAATTTCACCTTTTGGATTTTCAGAGGTCAGTGAGGGAGGTGTGGGTGCTCAGCACCTTTGAAAGTTGAGCCTCTTGCTTCTCATAGACTTTAAGGCCAAAAAGGACCATCATGATAATCTAGTCTGACTTCCTGCACATGACAGGCCACAGAACTTCACCCACTCCTGCAACAGGCCCATAATCCCTGGCTGAGTCATTGAAGTCCTCAAATCATTAAAGACTTCAAGTTACAGAGAATCTACCATTTACTCTAGTTCAAACCAGTAAGTGACCCATGCTGCAGAGGAAGGCAAAAACCCACCATGGTCTTTTCCAATCTGTCCTAGAGCGTGTGTGTGTGTGGGGTGGGGGGTGGGGATTCCGTCCTGACCCCAAATATGGTGATCTGTTAGACCCTGAGCATGTGGGTGAGACCAACCAGCCAGACACCTGGGAAAGAATTATTTTAGTAACTCTGAGCCCTCCCCATCTAGTGTCCCATCTCTGGTTGTTGGAGATATCTGCTAATACGAGATGCAGATGCGCCATGTGTCATTTTAGGCATCATACCATCCCCTTCATAAACTTATCAGCTCAATTATGAAACAAGTTAGGTAATTTTCCCCTACTACTCCCCTTGGAAGGCTGTTCCAGAACTTCACTCCTCTGATGGTTAGAAACTTTCATCTAATTTCAAGCCTAAACTTGTTGATGGCCAGTTTATATCTATTTGTTCTTGTGCCAGCATTGGGCCTTAACTTAAATAACTCCTCTCCCTCCCTGGTGTTTACCCCTCTGATGTACTTAGAGAGCAATCGTATCTCCCCTAAGCCTTAATTTTGTTAAGCTAAACAAGCCAACTCCTTAAGTCTCTTTTTGTAAAGTAGGTTCTCCATTCCTCTGATCATCCTAATAGCCTTTCTCTGCACTTGTTCCAGTTTGAATTCATCTTTCGTAAGCATAGGAGACCAGAATTGCGCACACTATTCCAGATGAGGTCTTACCAGTGCCTTGTACTGAAAATACCTCGCCTAATGCATCCTAGGATTGCATTCGTTTTTTTCATGGCCACATCATATTGGCATCTCTTAGTCATCTGTGATAGACCAAAACACTCAGGTCTTTCTCTTCGTCGGTTGCTTCCAACTGGTAAATCCCTAGCTTGTAGCAAAACTTTTGTTGTTAGTCCCTAATTACATGACCTTACACTTTGCACTATTAAATTTCATCCCATTTCTACTACTCCAGTTTTCAAGGTCATCCAGATCTTCTTGTGTGGCATTCCAGTCCTCCTCTGTATTGGCAATATCTCCTAACCTGTGTCATCCATACATTTTATTAGCACATTCCCACATTTTGTGTCAAGATCATTAATGGTCAAAAGACTGATCCTTGAGGAACTCCATTAGTAACTTCCCTTCACCCTGATAGGTGAACTATCAGTATGACTCATTGTAGTCTCCCCTTTAAACAGTTCCTTACCCACCTTTCAATTCTATGTTCATTCCCATCTTCTCAATTTAATAATTTCCCATGTGGAACTATATCAAATGCTTTACTGAAATCCAGATAGATTAGATCCACTGCATTTCCTTTGTCTAGAAAATTGAAGATCTTCTCAAAGAAAGAGATCTGGTTGGTGTACCTTTTGTAAAACCATGTTGTATTTTATCGCCTTTACTGTTTTCCTCTGTCTTTTATTACTCTGTCTTTCAAAATTTGTTCTAAGACTTGGCATACAACCAAGATCAAACTAATGGTCCTTTAACTTAAATATATGTACTATATTTGCAGTTCTCCGGTCATAGGGTATAACCCCCGAGTTTATGGATTCATTAAAAATCCTTGCTATTGGGCTTGCAATTTCATGTGCCAATTCATTTAATGTTCTTGGATGGAGATTAGCTGGGCCCCCCAATTTGGTCTCATTAAGCTGTTTGTTTTGCTTTCACCTTGGATGTGGTAATTTCTACTTTCATATCCTTGTTCCCATTAGCCACCCTGTCATTGTCCCCAAGCTCCTCATTCCCGTTATTTAATACTGAGGCAAAGTATTTGTTTAGGTGTTGGGCCCTACCTAGACTTATCTTTAATCTCTACCCCATCCTTGATGCTTAGCAGTCCCACTTCTTTTCTTCTTTTCTTTTTAGTTATATGGCTAAATAACCTTTTACTATTGGTTTTAATGTCCTTTTGTAAGGTTTTTTGCAGTTCTCACTTTAGCCTCACATTTTTTGACCTCCAAAAGGTAGCTTTCCTTGCTGATCCCTCCCTTTTTTCCATTCCTTGTAGGCTTTCTGCTTTCTTTTAATAGCCTGTTTGAGATGCTTGTTGAGCCAGTTTGGTCTTGCAACCCTTCTGTATGAGATTTCCCCTTTCCCCTCTCTTCTCGCCCCCTTCCCCTCCCCACTTTGAATGCAGGCTTCAGATAGTTTCTGCAACTTCAACTTAAAACGATTCCAAGGCTTCTCTACATTCAGATCCCTGAGTTCTTCAGTCCAGGCAACTTCCCTAAAAACTTAAGGGAATTAGTTAAAGTTTTTTCCTTTTTGAAATCAGCGACCCTAGTTGCAGACGTACTTTTGTTTATTCTTCCATTTAGTTTAAACTGAATTAACTCGTGTACCTCTGTACCAGATGACTGGAGGATAGCAAATGTAATGCTGATTTTTACAAAAGGCTTCAGAGGCACTCCTGATACTTACAGGCTGGCAAACCTAACTTCAGTACCAGGCAAATTGGTTGAAACTATAGTACAGAGATGGGCAAACTACAGCCTGCGGGCCACATCCGGCCCGCGGGACCGTCCTGCCTGGCCCCTGAGCTCCCGGCCAGGGAAGCTAGTCCCCAGCCCCTCCCCCGCTGTCCCTCCTCCCCCGTAGCCTAGCCTCGCCTCACCTCGCCTCGCCACGCCACCAGCGGTCTGGCCCGCCGCTCCCAGGCAGTGCGGGCGGCGTGGCTGGCTGCAGCAGGGCTGCGAGTTTCTGCTGCTCTGAGCAGCATGGTAAGGGGGCGGGGGGTTGGATAAGGGGCAGGAGGTCCCCAGGGGCAATCGGGACAGGAGCAGGGGGCGGTTGGATGGGGTGGAGATTCTGGGGGGGGCAGTCAGGGGACAAGGAGCAGGGGGGATTGAATAGGGGGTGGAGTCCTGGGGGGTGGTTGGGGCGGGGGTCCCAGGAGGGGACGGTCAGGGGACAAGTAGCAGGGGGGGTTGGATGGGTCGGGGGTTCTGAGGGGGCAGTCGGGGCAGGAAGTGGGAGGGGGTGGCTAAGGGGCAGGGGCCAGGCTGTTTGGGGAGGCACAGCCTTCCCTACCCGGCCCTCCATACAGTTTTGCAATGCCGATGTGGCCCTTGGACCAAAAAGTTTGCCCACCCCTGCTATAGTATATAGTACAGTAATCCTTTTGGTTAATCACATTGCCATTTTTTTTGTTAAATGTCTGATTTTTCTAGAGTTTTATTCAATTTTATTTTTTTTAAAACCAAGCATAATATAATCCTCCACATTTATGCGAAGAAATGCTACTCTGTGATCCAGGCTACACATCCTCAATGTAGCGCTCTCTTGCCCACTCTGTATTCATTCCACATGTGGAACTCCAGTTGTGCTCAGTGAATGCAGAATAGAGATTTGTAGTGCAATATCAGAGGGGAGAGAAACTCCCATTGATTTCAGTAGGCTTTGGACCAAGCCCTGTATGCAGTGATGAGCTGCCAAAATCGTAACAACTGGTTCCCTCCTCACCCCACGAGGGGGTCGTGGCCCACCCCCCAGTGACCCCTGCCCCATCCACCCCCCTTCCCTGTCCCCTGACTGCCCCCCGCCGCTCCATCCAACCCCTCCTCTCATTCCTGATGGCCCCCTGGGACCCCTGCCCCATCCAACCACCTGATAGAAACAGCTGATTCGCGGGAAGCAGGGGGGAGGAGAAGCAGGGCAGAGCATTCATGGGAGGAGGCAGAGCTGAGGTGAGCTGGGGCCGCGGCGGGGAACGCTTGTTAAATTTAAATGCCCTTTTAGAACCGGTTGTCCCACGCGGGACAATCGGTTCTAAAAGGGCTTCTAAATTTAACAACCGGTTCCCGCGAACTGGTGCGAACCGGCTCCAGCTCACCACTGCCTGTATGTCAACAACAAGAATCTCAACACTTGCAATTGATCATGGCACCCAGCCTTCATTTCTACAACAAACAGATCAAATGAACGTAGTTGCCAAGGTGTGTGGAATTTTGCCAAGGGCAGTTCTTAGCATTGATGGGGAAATTGAGGCACAGTGAGGGGAAGCGACTTGCTCAAGGTCACCCAGCAGGACAGGCAAAGCTGGGAATTGATCCCAGGTCTCCTGAGTCCTAGTCTCCCAGAGAGTAGTCAATGCTCTCTCAATATCTTATGAGCTGTTGACTCAATCATACCCGTTCCTTTGTTGTAATCAGACTATATTCAGTGTCCTTACTGCTTGAGAAGGTTTAACGAAGCTGCAGCAGAGAGGCACATCAGTTTTTGCAAAGAACAAGCTACACGACGTGTCTTTGCACCAGGCCAGAAAGCAGCCAAACAGGCCTCGGTAAGTAACACATTTGCCTTGTGTTTTCTTGCAGACAGGCTCACCAGACAGAATGGGTTGTGATGTAGGGAGGGAAGCGCCACATTCATATGTAGCTTTAAACCACAATGAAACTAATGATATTTTTGGTTTTTTAATTAAATGCCATGTGAGTTGCTTCAGAAAGAACCCCTCTGTCTGCAGGAAGTTACAGAAAAGTGTGGTAGCAAACGCTGAGGAGAAAATAGCTTCTTCAGACTCTTCTCTAATCAGATTCCAGGAAAACAACTGTAGAGTAATGGAAACTAATACAGCTTCCATGCTGGATACAGAGTACTACTGTACTATCCTAAGGGATATATCAAAGGCCGAATTCCTTTGGTAGCCTCCGAAGTGGAGTTAATCCTCTGTGTCTTGACCTGTGCTGCTGTATTTATTCAATGTTTATACAACTTCTACTGAAAGATTTTTTTAAAAAAGATTTTATTAAAACATAAATTGTTCATTAATAAAAAAAAAGTGAGTGACAGACGGAGTTTGTAACTAGTAATCAGCAAAGTAAAAATCTTGTTGTTATGCCCACCAGTTCATTTTCTTTTAAGTATTTCAATTTTAGAGGAGGATCAGCTTTCTGATGAAAGGAAAGGTAAAGCCTACAATGGAGGGGAAAAAATTGAGGATAAAATTCTTTATCTACCACCAAAAGGCTTAAAATACTCCATAGTTAAGATGGTGGGTGTCTAATAGAGGGAGATTCTGGAGAACCGGGTGTCTCAAAGGGGTGATGCCATTGATGGGGAGATTCCTACAGGTGTCACTGAAGGGCTGCTTCTCTGAGTGTCTTGGTTGTTTTAGGCTGGATGGGAAAACAATGCTTTGGGGAAGAAGCAAGCTACTGGTGGCCTTGCCCTCTGCCCTGGCCTGCTGCTGCTATCTCCGAGGGGATTAAGAGAATGGGCTGCTCTCAACACCTCCACGAAATCTCTGCTGGAGTTGAGTCCTGGTCAGTTTTGTCATGAAACTATGCAAACTGCTTGTGTTCTCCTCACCAGGGGAAGCAACAAATGACTCAAAGGAGAGAGCCAGCCTTAACAAGTGCTGTGGAATCACTGCTTCAGAACAGAGCCCAAGAAGCTGCCATTGCAGGTAAGGCGTTGCAATCGGTTGGGTGAGTGAACATTCAGAAATACTTGCACAAGGTCATTACTACTCTGCAACTGGGCGTCAGTTACTGCTACTGCTCAAATGTTGCAGAGTAGCATCACCCTGTCCGCACTATCACTCTTAGCCAGTTTTGTACCCAGTTAGTGACCTGGTTGGCTCTAACGGTTTGTATCCTCCAACAACATGGTTAGCATTATTTTAGTAACCCCGGCAGCTAACAGCGTTACCTCTTGCCAGCAGCATAGACTAGTTACCGTAGATGGCTGTCTTCCTGTAACCAGTCATCACTCTGTCTGTGCAGTCTGGGCCCAATCCTGCAAGGTGCTGAGCAGCTCATGAGGCATCAAGCACCTTCAGCTCTCATTGAATTCAATGGGCCTTGAGGGTGTTCAGCAACTTGTAGGATCAGACCCTTCCTGTGAAAGCACATGCCAGAATGCATTGGCCCCTGTGCAGTTTGGTGTCATTCTGTGTAGAAATCATTCAGGCACTGTAACACCTGCTGAAGCACTAGGGAGTAGCTTCTGAGACTTTTCCTAGAATGCACTACAACAGTCAGTTAGGCAGCATGGGTCGGGGTGGCTGCACAAATGTAGTTTTGTTGTTCTTGTGTGGTTGTTTTGTTTTTGTTTTGTTTTTGTTTTTTTTTTAAAGCAACACTTCTGCTGTGTGGACAAAGTGTAACAATGTTTGTAACTGGATCGTGTGAGTGTGTCACAGACTGGCAAAGAAAATATGGCTGTGTTGGTAGACTAGGATGGGGAGGTGTTGTTATAGGTGTGGAACTTGTTAAATAAACAAGAAATTTAGATTTCCGCTTAATTCTGTCATGAGCAGGAGGAGCTATTCCTCACCCCCCCCCCCCC